AAAATTATGATTAAAATCATCATGATTTAAATCCTCGTACCAAACGAATCGAAATGTTTTTCCTCATAACAATTTTGACGTTTGGTTCTCAGAAATCAAGGGCTTGTTCTTTTGAGTGAAAAACTCAAAAAAGGCAACTCGAGTTACAATTTTATTCGAGTTCATGTTCTTTTAAGTTTAAACTCGAGTTTAAACTCGAGTTCAAACTCGAGTTAGGACTAAAACTCGAGTTCAAGTTTCCCCTTCAACTCGAGTTCAGAAACTCGAACTCAAATTAATTAACAGCATTTTTTCTATTCTTAAAAATGCTATAACTTTTTTGTTTTAATTCTGATTGAGATGATTTTTTTTCTATGCGTTGACAACGAAAAGACGAATAAAATCCCACCCATATACCTTATTAAAATTTTTTATCAGCATTGAGTTTTTATTAAAATACTATCTAAATATAAATTCAAGTTTTGACTCACTCAAACACAAACTCAAAAAGATTCTTATCTCAAACCATAACTCAAATGTACACAACCAAACACAAACTCAAGTTACAAGTTTAACTCAAATTATAACTCAAATTTAACTAAAAAATTATACTCAAATTAAACTCTAAAAGAATAAATTCAAAATAAGTTTTTAAGTAGTCGTTTAATCTTCTCCTTTCTCCTTTCCCAAGTAACCATGTTTATATACTCTTGGAAGAAAACCTATTATTGAAAAAAAAAAAAAAAAAAAAAGTCTGTGGGACCCTGAGCTCTGTAAAAATTAATATAATGGACCCTAAGGGCGGAGCCACACAAGGTAGGTAGCCACTCTATGTGAATTTTTTTTTTTTTTTAAATTTTGTTACCATTTGTAGTTTCTCCCTTTAAAAATCTGAGTCTATTCTTTTTCAAAATCTTAAATTTTATATCCGTCCCGTGTCGACTCCTAATGCTCCTACAGAGGTGGTTCCCAATTTTTTTTTTGCTGAGCTGAATAGAATCTTTCTAACTGTTGTACTGTAAAATTTTTCCGGAATAATTAAGAGTTGAGCAACCAATAATGCAGTTAGGCAAGCATCTTTATAAATTGTACTCAGCTCTGTCTTCTGCCCTTGCTTTTTGAGACTGAGCCTTACTTGAGCCCAATATCACCTAGACATTAATCAACTTCAAGCACAGGAGGAGGCAGTTATCATGTTTTTTTTTTTTTTTTTTTGGAATTTTCTTCTCTCATTTGTCCTATTCATGAATTTGGATTCCTACCACATGAAACCCCAGAAAACTGAATTTCAAGAAATTGAAAACCAAAGAGAAAAAAAAAAAAAAAAAAAAACAGAATTAGTTGGGACCAAAACGGAGTAATTTGAAATATTGGAGAACAAAAATCCTTGTTCTTATTAATTATTTGGGTAATGGAGAGAGAATAGATGGAAGACCTTTTGTCTCCACGTGAAAGTTTTGCAGTCAATTTTAATATCCCTGAATACGACCAACTTAGCTAGGTGCAAAGAGCCAACAACCCATGTAGCACAAGTTTGAAACAAAATTATGTGCACAAAATTTGAACCACACTCTCTCCCATATATAGACTAGTGCCATTTTGTTGGGTTATATAGCCATGTGAGTTTGTTCCCCTATTGTTCAAATATATATTAGAGTGTTTTAAAAACATCCTAAGATTTTGAAGAAGTAACACACACAAAAAAAAAAAAAAAAAAAAAAAAAAAAAAATGCAGCCCAGTAGCATCCATTGATTGGACTCACCGTTGAATGGTGAGAAAACCTCTATGTTTTCTTGCATAACATATAATAAGACAAACCAAAATAAATATTGGAAGGAGAAAAAAAAATTTCGACCTATATAGATATATATGTTTATATATCACCCTTTGGAATAATATTGGTCAAGGATTCATTAATGCCACATGATATGAAGCACATGATGTGTCTTTCTTGGACTGAAATTGTGAAACACAAAGTGGAGCTGAAAGAAGTTTTGTAATCGTGAGGGTCATGCTTAATTATATACTGCATACTGAAACGACAGAGAGGAGACATTTGTGACCATCTTTCTCCCACGAGGAAATGTAGAACAGCGTACGTCTCCAACTGATATTTAGTGTGCATGTGGTTTTGGTTCCCATGTTGGTGTATTTGCTTGTGAAGTTCACCCTAGAAGGTAAGTTTTAACGTGTTTATGTTGGAAATATGAGAATGGAGACTTTAAAACACGTACGAAATATGTTTTTCTTAAACCGTGGTTGAGATTGTTTGCGGGTTACTCACAGTAAATCACTTCCAGAATATGATAAGGCCTTACCACTACAACAAATATTATTATTAATAGCTAATCAAAAACGCTATTAAGCACTACTAATAGCGTTTTGTGGAGCGTTAGGACATCGGACGCTATTAAAAGTCCTATGAAAACATAGCTTTCTGAAAATAATATGAGAAACGTTACATAATTGAAGTCTTATAGCGTTTTAAACATGTTATTTTCAACCTCTTACAGCTATAACCAAAAGTTATCAAAAACCTCCTCTGTTGTATACGTATACGGTGAGTTTACACAATAGTTCACGATCATTCCAATATATAGGTCTTTATTGGGGTGATTAATTGGTTATTTAATTTCACTAGTACTTTGCAAATGTGGGAGTGATTAAGATAAGGATGCTTCTCCTCAACAACTTATTTGTCAAGAGATATCCCATTTTAGCGACAGTTACGACACGTTTACTTACAAGTATATTGAAGATTTAGAATATATGCAAAAGGTTTTGGATAAGAAAGAATATTGTATTAAGGTATGCACTAATTTTATTAAGATCATCCCACTAAAATTCAGAATGATTCCTAGTATGTTCTTATCTAATTGCTGGTTTTGGGGGGAAAATTGAAATCTAAAAAATATTTTGGGAATAGAAGAATTTCCAAAATGAATCATAGTCAACCTCTGCTACTATAACTTAGGACAAATATTATAAATTCCTTCGAACTTATCCCTCTAACTTGAATTTTTATCATGCACCCTCAAACTTGGAAAAGGCGTTGGTTTCTTCGTGAAAATGCCAAAGTCCACCCGCATAACTTAGCTTGTTTCTTTTCTTGTTTACAATACAAAGCGAGATTGAACCTACAACTTTTGCCTAAACCCCATCTATCCGAATCCTCGGTGTGATAGACCAAATGGTCTTAGGCAACCTGTTGATTTTCAGTTGAAAAAAAAAAAAAAAAAAACCGTAAAAGAAGAAACATTTTTAATCTCCCGTCGGAGAATGTGTTCAGGCTTCAGGTCCTTCAGAGTTTGACTGCAGGAGCTAAGCTTTAACCAAGAAATCAAATACAAATTTTTGAAATATGCTTAGAGTTTGAGGACAAAAGACTGTCGAACTCCATGACATCCATGAATCTTCCGGCTGTGTTTCATAAAAACTTAGGCCCCGTTTATTTTGCTGATTTGAGTTTTTAATTCGAGTTGATATGTGATTTTATGTGAGAGCTTTTTACTGTAGTGAAAAAGTTAAATGTGATTGTTTTTAAGAGTTTTTTACTGTAACAAAACTCGAATCGGTAAAATGAACGAGGTCTTGTCACGTAATCTTATTACCACATATTTTTCAAGATTATAATATTCTTAAGTTTTTTTGTGCACAAAAATGCAAGTAAAAAATTATGGATTACAAAGGAATGAGAATGTTTTCCAGTCTTGCGATTCACGAAAATGTGACAAGTAAACGTGCCATTAAGTTGTTTGCTCCGTCATTTTCTATCCAAGTGAATGCTACAATTGATGTGAATTGTGAAGTGCGAACATTCGGAAAAATATGTCTGCAAAAGGTTTCATTCATCATTCATTAATAAAAAGAACCAAAGGCAGAATGATTTTCGTTCACTTTTCTTAGTTTGTGGGGTTCGGAAGGTACTTGTGATGAGGAATAGGGAACATTGTATTTTTAAGCTTAGAAAAAGGTATATTTTGATCGGAACGTCTACTAAGATGCTAGGTACGTTTAGTTCGTTAATTTAAATTTTTAATTTGAGTTGAGATGTGACTTTATGTGAAAACTTTTTACTGTAGTAAAAATGTTAGATGTGACTTTATATAAGAGCTTTTTATTGTAGTAAAAAAGTTAGATGTGACTTTTTCTGAGAGCTTTTTACTGTAACAAAACTCGAATTCTAAACTCAAATCGGTAAAATTAAACAGAGTCGCTTATCCCATTTCTGACCCTCATTGCACGCCAGCATGTTTGGGCCGACCTAACACGAGCCGTGTAACTAATCAACCTAGAGATTTTAATGGAAAATTACAAAATTTATCCTTAAAAGTGTATGAGTCTAAACTTTTACTTCTTACTCTTGATAAATACTTTTTTATTAGTGTAATTATTTAATTAAAAAAATTATGAATCAAAAATAAAAAATAAAAATCCTAATTTATGTACTTTTAAAGTATATTTATTAAGATTATTTAATTTTAATCATGTCATATTGTATCAACCCAACCAATAATGGACTAGGTCCATATATGCTCCGCATCACACTAGGCTTAGCCTATTAAAGTTTCATGTCGCTCTCGTACCAATCCAAGATTAAAAATCTTATACTAGGCCCAGACACATCTCAAGCGTGTGCAGGTGTCATGCTCGTGAACTAGCAATTGATAAGTCTAAGCCCCTGTCTACATATTGGGCTCATATGTCTCTTTTTTTCATTTCTTTTTGTGTCCCTCAATAATAATACATTAATTAATTGACATTAATTTTTTAATTAACGTGTCATAATAATTTTATTGACATGACATTTTTAATTGACGTGTTATTATGTTATTGAATAGACATTAAAAAAAGATACGAATAAAGGAACATAAGTGTCGAATCCCAATCAACCAATCAACCAACGTATGGTTGTTGTGCTGAAAACAGATAAACAATGATCAAGAGTGAAGTCGAAGTGCAACAAAACGGCGTCATGAAAATCATAACCTTAATGGAATTATCTTGTTCATTAGGTGGTCATGTTCTATTGTTATTATGCACAAGCAAAAAGAATTTTTCTAGTGTTATTCTAACAAAAATAAACAAAAATAATTGTGTATTATCCATTTCTCTTCTGCTTAGAAGTACCGGTTTTTTCATAATCAATTGTCTGATAAAAATACAAAACACAGTAAATAACCGCGGAAACTTGGCGAGCCAAAGTAGTTTCTTCTCATCTCACTGTTCTGTTTCTTCTGTACATCACGGAAAGCATTTCATCCTCTGCAAAATGACACAGGATTAGTTCACTTTCGCCGTAGAAGTAGAATTACAATTTACAAGTTTAATCAAGACCGTCGAAATTACCTGTCTTTCAATTTCGACTGCAGATGCAGCTAGCCTCCTCTTCAAAATTGACCTATCCAGTTCACAACTTTCCATTTCCGTATCTACAAACAAAACCAAAAACAAAACAAAATTTACAAGTTAGATTGTGTAAATTACCACATTCCCTTTGATATTAAATTCTAAAGAGATTTTGGATTTGACTGAAAAAAATAAGCAGAAAAGGCACCAAAAGCTTTGGCGAAGGATTAGTTTGCTTTATTCCCACTCACCGTAATAGTATGATGACAGAATCGTGATGCGTTCGGTTGGCTGCAAACGAAGAGAATGATACGTTCAAGGCTCGGAATGCAATGACAGTAAGATATAACACGACAATATTAATATGATTCTCCGGGGTAAAAAAACGAAGAAGATTAAAGACATAATTAACGGCACAAACTCTTCAGACACTTGGAGTTGACAAACGTTAATCTCAATCCAAAATCCTAGTATTCAGCTGGATTTTATAGGAAACTTAAATAACTGAAAGGATTATTTTCATAAATGCCTTGAAGTATGTAATCTATTCCTTAATTTTTTAAAACAGTTCAAAACGATCCCGGTCTAAATAAAACAGATCAAAACACTCCTTCCGTTTATTTGTCTATAAATTTAACGGAGTTAATGACATGTCATACCATTCGACATTAACTGGATGTATTAAGTTCTTATTAACTCTATTAAAGTGATTAAGTATTAAGAAATAATAAAAAAAAAGCTTAATATATTAAAATTAAAATAAAATAAAATAAATCATGAAAACTATTAAAATATAAAATTATTATTGGTCTACCTCTTAATAATTTAAATTTTTTAATTTAAATTTTTGGGATGGATTAATAAATTAACATAGTATCAGAGAGAGAAGTCATGAGTTCAAACTCTCATACTTGCACTCTTCATCCCTATTTAAATTGTCATCATGTGTTAGGTCTTTAATATATCTCAGACTTAAATATTCACGTTTTGAATTTTTGAATTAATTTATTTACATGATTGTCCATTATCTAACTCGCATGTGAGAGAAAGTATTAAAGTATAAAATTATTATTGGTTCACCTCTTAAGAGTTTAAGCTTTCTAACTTAAGTTTTTGAGATGGATGGGTAAATTAACCCCAAAAAGGTCGTCTTCCAGCTCTTGGCATCACTTTGCAGACCCAAAATAATCCCAATCGTAATCAGTTTTCATAGCTAAACATGAAACCACGCCGGCCATCCCCACCCGCGACCCCATGGGACCTCGCGAACCCAGTCAAGTCACCTCCCGATTGCGCCGCCCACTTCGTGAACCCAGTCAATCGCTCCGCCCACCTCTCGAACCCAGCCAAGCCGCCTCCCAATCGTGCAGAAATGTTGCTTTCGCTTGCATGATGGCGCGATGAAGGCAGACGGATATGGGCTTGCAATTGAAGCGCTGCGGGCTCGGCTTCAGTTTAGAGTCCAAACAGAAGAGAAGAGCAATTGAGAGAGATATCTGTGGTTTAATTTTTTAGTATTTACTTTTTTTTTTTTTGAGTGAACTGAGAAGAAGGAGGTCGGAGATAGGGGAAGAATATCCTGAATCAATTTCGCCCCGTTCATTTAGCCGATTCGAGTTTTACTACAGTAAAAAGCTCTCAGAAACAGTCACATATAACTTTTTTACTACAGTAAAAAGCTCTCACATAAAAACACATCTCAACTTGAATTATAAACTCGAATCAGCGAAGTAAACGGGCCTGACATTTGTTTTTATGTTTGTTTTTCCGCTTTTCGTTTTGGCTGGTTAGTCTTTGCATTTTATTTAATTTTGGGGCATTTTATATTAAGTAATTGGTTTTTTATTAATAATTAAGATTTTTATATTTTAAAATACTTTTTATAAACTTTTAATTGCACGCCACGTTAGCAATCTATTAATTACGTCGCGTTAGCAATCCATTAAAATTATACGCCACGTTAGCAATTTATTAAAACTATACGCCATGTCAGCAATTCATTAAAATTACAGACGGAAAGTGGATGGAAGGGGGTTTTAATATGCTTTTTATAAATTGAAAACTGACATGGAAGGGGGTTTTAATATGCTTTTTATAAATTGAAAACTGACATGGAAGGGGGTTTTAATATGCTTTTTATAAATTGAAAACTGACATGGAAGGGGGTTTTAATATGCTTTTTATAAATTGAAAACTGTTTTAAACTATTTAAAAAAATTAAGAGGCACTTTGAAATAAAAGGAGGTATTCACGAAAATAATCCTAACTGAAAACTTAAACATCAACTTACCATCACAAAGATCCCTTCACGGCGAGTAGGGAGTTGCTCAAGCTTCTTCAATGTTCCGTCACCTTTAGTAACTTTCCCAAATATTGCATACTGAGGAGGATTTACGTCAAATTACTTATGAGCCACTTTTGTCAAATGTGATTTTCATCAATGATAATTTGCATACCTGCCCGTCAAGATGAGGGGCATCTCCGAGAAGGATTGAAAAAGAGGATTGAGCACTGTTTGGATCTTCATATCTACTTAAAAGCGACACAATGAAGAACTAAGAGAGTTCACTAGTTGAAAAGAACTAAGAACTAAGAAAGCCACAATTGTCTAGAAAAGCTTAAATAACATGGCGAACAGATCCTAATCACTCGCATAATGCAAATCCGTAGCTTATGCTCATAACCCCGCAGCAGAATGCTTGCCTGCTAAAACAACGTTTTCACTGGTACTATTATTTTCTCTTGTCAATCCACTCATTTGTCTTGGGACTTAATAGCTAACACTACCATTTATGTATCACGATTCACTACAAACAACAACAAAAACTAAAGATAGAAAAAAAAAATCATATGTTTGTCATATAAGCACTCACTAAAATGCCAAGTTTTTCATGAAAAATACTCCCAAACTTCAAGTTTAACAAATAGAACTTGATGGGGACTAAATGTAAATCAGGAAATGACAATGTTCTTTTACCTGCCCATAGAAAGAATACCTCTAACATGCTTAACTTGGCTGAATTCACCAATGACCTTCTTTTCAGCCTCCTTTCTTTGCTCTTCATTCATAGGAGCCGATCTTCCCCCAGACACATCCGCCACTTGGGCTACAAACCCCTTATCAACCTATCGCAAATTCCAATCAGATTACATTCATATTTTATCCGCACAAAAAAAAAAAACCCCACACAACTCAAAAACAAGAGAAAAAAAAGATACCCTTGTATATTATTTACCCTGAAGAAGTGATTGGTGTTATAACACCCGAGACGAACGAGCTTAAAAATGTGGTCAACGGTTATGGGTGCGACATCTGGGTAGAACCCGAATTCGATATCGCCATAATCTGTCTACGAAAGTTCAAAAACATGAATTTCGAATTGCCCATCAATGGGTATGCCCCAAATTACTGAAAATTGGATGGAACGCAACGCTATAAAAGAGGGGGAAAAAAAAGAAAGAAGATAAAATTGGAAAAAGAATAAATGCGTGAACCTGAAAAACAACACGAGCTGATCCGAGCTGGGGTTCAGAAGAAGATGCGAACACGAAGAAGAGACAAATAAAGAAGACGATTGACACTGAATTGTTAGATTTCCACATCTTTTTGCTTTTGGCTTTAATTTTTTGCGCTCTTTGATCTCAACTGCTCCTCTGTTGTTATGAATTTTACGTTTCAATTTCTCTTTCTTTTTTTTCCCTTTTTTTTCCTTCTTTTTTCGTTTAATTTACGTTTTTCGTTGTTATTGGGCCAAGGAGATGGGCCCAGATAGATGAGATTCATGTCCAACAGATTTAATAGGCGGCGCCGTATTTACTACCTCTCTTCTATGGGTCAATATGGCCCAGCCCATAAAATAACAAAAACGATTGTATGATGGTCTAGAATTTTACCCTGAACACTTAATACTCTTTAACTAATATAGCTATTTCACTAAAAAATGTATTAATAAAAAATAAACAGTAAAAATCTATACTAATATTCTAAGGAGTATTTATCTTCTTTTCTCGTTAAATAAATAACTAGACCTTAAATTGGTACTCAATTTAATTTTACACTCAAGTTTATTGAAAAATTTGAGAAATGCGGTAAAATAATTGACCTTTGGAGCTTTTGATTTGTACCACGCAGATGAACTTGTTAAAGGTCTATAAAATATGGCGTAAATCCATGCATACAGAAATTGTGGTATAAATCCGACAACATATTAAAAGTCGTTGCATGCTAGTTAATTTTATTCTTCTTTTCTTTTTGAGTTATTTACATAAATGTTGATTATGAGCACCTTCTGTCTAAAAATGCATATTTTTTTGTTTATTTACAAAACTATCGACTGTCACATATATATATATATATATAAAGATAATTATATCCTCACATATTGAAAAAAGTGAAAAAATATTAAAGAACAAAATAGGTAAGAAATTGGAAATAAATATAACAAAATCAACAACTAAAATAAAAAAGTCAACACCGGAATATTAAACAAAATCAGCATTTAATAAGAAAAAGTCAAAAGATCTAATTGTTACATTTAAAGAACCATTAATGTTTATAAAAAAGAAAAAAAATCAAAAGATAAAAGATAAGGCAAAATGAAATTGTAATATATTTAAAATGAGTATTTTTTTTAAATAAAAAAACGTGATTACCAAAAAGATCACCTCCCCTGCATACGTATTAATCCCCATTTTATTGAATACATTCATTAATAAAATGAATACAAAATTACAATAAAGATTTGTACGATAATGACTTATTCACTATGAAAATGAATGCATATATTTTGTGTGAAAAGGAATATTAGGAGTGCATAAGGATAATGAATGTATGATTTCCATATGAGAATGAATTTATATGCAATTTTTTATAATTAAATGGTATGATTGTGTCGAACATGATTCGAGTTCATTATGACTAGGATGTTAATGTTATAAAGAAAAATAACGAATTGAAAGCTTTTCATTACCGTATTTACATCCTCATTGTAATAATGAAAATAGAATTATAACAAAAGTTATAAACATGAGGTACAAGTGATCAAATCTTGAAAAAATTCATTACCATCTATATTGAAAAATTTAAAATAATGATATTATAGAAAAGGGGTGAATAAAATGTGATAATGACGAAAATAATAAAAATAAATGTTTTATGATAATGACGAAATGAAAAAAAAAAAAAAAAAGACTTATAGAAAGACACTAATATGAATACTAACATTATCATAAAGAACGTAAATTTTATAATAAAATGTGTTAGGTCATTAATTGTGTGGAAACATGTAAAAAAAATATTAAAAAAAAACCAACAAGCGAAAAAGGAAAAAAAAAAAACAAAAACAAAACAAAACAAAAAAACAGGGGTAACGTACTGTAAACCAAATGCCATCAATGAAGAACCACAAAAAAAGTTGAAAAGCAATTATACAAAAATATCTCATGCCATTTGATTAAGTAGTCCTCTTAAAAGGTTTTGTTTTGTTTTTTTCCAAAAAAAAAAAAAAAAAAAAGAAAAAAAAGCCAAAAAGGTGCAAGTAACTGCAAATCAATTTAATCAAATGACCTTAATGGAGAACCTGAAGCAAAATCTTACTACAAACTGTAATGCTTACAGAACGGCGCAAATCGTCAAAAGGAAAAGAACGGCGCAAGTATGGTGATGAGCGAGAGAAGAAAGTTAAAAATGTTATTTACATTTCACTAAAAATAAAAATAAAAATAAATCAAATAATTAATTACACAAATATTCAATTAGAGCTAAAAAAAAGTGAATATGTGTAATATTATGAGAAAAAACAACCAGATTACATAAAGTAAAAATTAATCATATATGGAACATGCCCCAGAGGAACCCATAAAGACATATCCGGTAATATATATGTCTTAATCGGTATTTTTGTAATATTGCATAATAATTAATTTTTAAAAATATAGCTTTTAAAGTAGGTATTTTATGTAATTACTTCTTTCTTTTTTAATCCAATGCATGAGAGAAACGAGAGTAATTGAGGCCCAATACCGCTCTTGTTGGAAAACAATACCATTTATAAAGAGAAAAAAGAGACAAATACATATAAAGTCCATAAATTTAGACTTTTATCTCATACTCTTGATTCATAACTTTTTAATCAAATAATTATATTAGTTAAAATGGTATTAATTAAAAATAAGGAGTAAAAATTAAGACTCATGCATTTTTAAAAATAAATTTAGTAATTCTCTCTTTATTTATTATTTTATTTCTTTATTTTATAAAGTCTAGTTATTCACTCATATCATTTTTATACCTAAATATTAGGCACTTATTTTTTCACACATAAGTAGTATATTTAAATACAAATTCTCTAAAAGTGGTAATCCGTTTGTGATACATAATTATGGCCCGTTTAGTTTATTGATTTGAATTTTTAATTTGAGTTGAAATGTGATTTTATGTGAGAACTTTTTATTGTAGGAAAAAAGTTAAATATGATTGTTTCTAAGAGCTTTTTACTATAACAAAAGTCGAATTCTAAACTCGAATAAGTGAAACTCAGACATTAAAAGAAATTTTTACGGTAGAGCAAGTTATTTTACCCTACCAGTAAAGACAATTACTTTTAATTACTGGATTAGTTTTTTAACGGTCAGATTTGTACAGATCCGTATTAAATATTAACAACGCGCCACACAAAACTATTCTAACTGCATATCTCTGTTGAAAAATTAATCAAACGATAAAAATACAGTCTTCACTAATTGAGCTAAATAACTTGCTCCACCAGTCTGCCGTGAAGACTCCCTAATTTTTGTTACTCTTTTTTTTTTCCTTTTCCTTTTTGCTAGACTAGACGGTAGTTGCTAGGTTAGTATTCAAACATGGATGCTGAACGTTTTGTTGTCGTCTAAGCTGAAATCATTAGTTTAATTTATACGAACTATGAGAACGAGGATCCAATCCTCTCTATTTTTCTTTTTTATTATTTGAGTGGGAAGAATTAAAAAATTGGAGAGGTTTGAAACGTAACTAGACACTAGACCAAACTAATGATTTTTGAGGAAAAACTTTTGTGTTTGAGCCATTAAAACTACACAAATCAAAGTCAATTTCGCTATTTGAATTGTCAATAGAGATGCAATGAAGAATTGACCGACCCTTTTTCATGGAAAAATCTGAGTCAGCAAGTTTTTTTTTTAAATAATCTTAACAAATGCCGTTTAAAAGATATGAATCAAAATTTTTATCTTTTATTCTTGATTCATAACTTTTTTAATTAAATAATTACACTAATAAAATGATATTTATAAAAAATAAAATGTAAAAATCTTATACTCATTACTCTTAAAAATAAATTATCTATTATTTCTTCTCTCTTGATTGAGCTGGGACTAAGCCCAAGTCTACTTTGAGACATTTATTTAAAAAAGCATTTCTCATTGGACTTTTCTTTTTTAGTGGAAAGTTTTAAGACATTGTATTTTACTATAAGGATGATATTGTCATGTCCCTGTCTCTGCTTTATAAAGTCATTCGCCTAGTAGGTCATTGTTGCCAATAGCTAGATGGTCGTCGATTGCCAACAAGCACTTTTTAGGTGACCATCAGAGTTGATGATCACATATACAACGACTCGGAGATTTTTGTGACCAACATAAGTAAAAAATACTTCGGTAGAGATGTAATAATGGGCTGGAGCTTGTGGGCCAGCCCAGACCCATCATGACACAATGATGGGTTGGGTCGGTATGACCCGTCACTGTTCAATGCACGGTTTAGCTCATAAATATTAGTGGGCTGAGCTGAGCCAATATATATCAGCCCATGGGTTGGCCCGGTACGGCCCATGAAAAATCATGGGTCAGGTCGGGCTGGGCCGGCCCATCTAGGCCATAATATCTTCATATTTTTTTGTCATTTTTTAGTAATTTTGTAAACATCTTATGCATAATTATCCTGATTGTACTCTTTTTTTCTTACTAAGGTTTTGTCCCGTTGAGTTTTCTTTAGAAATGTTTTTATTTAATGAGGCAATTGTAAATAAAATATCCCTTTTAATATTTACGTTGACTGTTCAAACTTTTATATTTGTTAACTTGTTTAAAAATTTAAAAATAAAAATAAAAAAATTGAAAATTACATGCTTAGATAGGCTGGCCCATCTAAACCCATGATGGGCCTTGAATAGGCTGGCCCATTCAAGGCCTATGGCACGGCCCATCTTGACCCGCGTCACGACCCAGCTTGGCCCACATAAAATTGAACTGTGGTGTGAGCTGGGCCGAGATAATTCTTATACGGCTAGCCCGGCCTGACGTACAAAATTCGTGAGTTGGGCTGACCCGACCCATGGCCTGCGTGGGCTTAAGGAGAATGGGCCGGGCCGACCCGTTCTTGCATCTCTATACTTCGGCCTTGAAAAAAATAAAAATACAAACAAAAGAGAGGAAAAATGAGGTGAAAACATAATTTAAGAAGTACATAATAACAAACATAGGAACAGTGCAAGTTTCCTAATTTTCTCAAACGGTTTTTTTTTCCCAAAAAATATTTTTGGATTCCTATTACGTAGTTGCTAAGGCCAAACTATGCAAAAATTTTGATATTTTTTATAATAAAAACGACGTTCATACGCTATTATTATTGTCATCATCGTCATGAGATTCTACCTCATTATAATAGGGTATCTCTTTTGATAGTGTACATTATGAGCG